CTGGCCACATGCACCGAGGTTGGCAGGTTCAAACCTGGCTTGGGCCAGCTAAACAGTGACAACTGCAACAACAACAAAAATAGCCAGGCATTGTGGCGGGCACCTATAGTCCCAGCTACTTGGGAAGCTAAGGCAAGAGAATCACTTAAGCGCAAGAGTTTGAGGTTGCCGTGAGCTGTGACACTACAGCACTCTACCGAGGGTGACATAGTGAGACTCTGTCTCAAAAAAGAGAAACAAAACTCCAATTATTTTATTTATTTTGTTTTTTATTCTTTTGGCCGGGGCTGGGTTTGAACCCGCCACCTCCAGCATATGGGGCTGGCGCCCTACCCTTTTGAGCCACCCGCGCCTCCTCAAAACTCCAATTTTTAAAAATCTGTGGTAATTTAGGATAAAGAAGCCAAGAAAATAAATCAACTTTTAGAAGATGAGACTTTCAGAATATTTACATTGAAGAGTTTGGGATATTTGTCTCCTGTTTTCCCTTGATAATGACACAGTAAGGAAGGCTGGCCTATTTGTTTTGGACTACTGCAGGAACTGTGAGGATCACGGCATGTTTGAGTTTGGTGGGTAGATAATGCAATCTCACCTGGGGGCAGATGTAGGGCCGTATCTGAAGGCACCTGCCTGCCCAGCAGCTTTGCCCCTGAGGTTCTAATAAGCCCCAATGTCTTTTCCCTCTTTGACACAATTGACGGCAGGTTGCCAAAACCACACCCTGATGCAGCAATAGCTGTATGATGTTCGTTTATGCGTCATTTCTTTTTTGATCAACAGCTTGACATAGAAGAACTTGTATAGCTGCTGCTGGACAGGCTTGTGCAGGACAGGCTAGTTGTGAACTGATGGCGATACTCTATGTCTGATGTCTTATTAATGCTCTTCTTTTTGCATGTTTGTCTTTTCAGGAAAACCAGTTCTGTGTCCTCGGAGGACTATAGTCCAGGAGTCGTTTGGGAGCCCCAGACGAAACCTAGCTCTGAGCTTCTATGGTGCCCGGCTATGCAGCACTCAGGCTGCCACGGACAGGGAGGAGCCTGTGCACTCAATCATAAGCAGCACTGAGGCCGTGCAGGGTAGTGTTCAGCCAGGTTTTGGTCTGGGATGTCTTTCTTGGTTCATTGCTGGCTTGTAAGGGGAAGTTTTTTTGAAGTGGAGATGATGATTGATAGAGCCGCCTGCTCACTTCAGAATTTGGAAGGTCTTGGTGGCAGGGAGCAGTGTCCTAAATCACGTATCCTCTCTTCTGCCCTGGCAGGGACTTCCTGCTCTATCCTGGGGCGCGTTGCCCCCTCTGGTGGTCATATGTGAATTTGCCATGTGGCACCTTCTCTGGTGATTCATGCCTGGCACATCTGTTAACAATCATGGAAGCTGGACACAAACTCAGTATTGGCCCAGGTTGTGCAGGACTGAATCCTGAAGTTGTCTTTTTGGTTGCCCCAGAAGCATAGAAAAGCAGCCTTCAGAACCAGTCCCGCAGGGGTTTCGTTTCTAGCTTTTAAGTCAGATGACAAGAGCAGAATCTTTAAAGTTGAGTTAAGAGAAGAAGTGAAGTTTTCTTGTCATTTTAATTTTTTCCTTTTTTTTTTTTGCAGTTTTTGGCTGGGGTTGGGTTTGAACCTGCCACCTCCAGCATATGGGGCTGACGCCCACTCCTTGGAGCCACAGGCACCACCCCTCATTTTACTTTTTGAATAATTAATTTTGAAACTGGTTTTTAAAGACCATAATCCAGGGTCTAGTTAGAGCCAGCTCAATTCTCATGATCAAGTACTTAGGGAAATCCACCCTCACACTCCACTAGGGGTAACCCAGGGTGTGTTTGGCCTTAGCAGCATGAGGATTTGTTCACGTACACCTCTTTTTGCAGAGACAGGAGCAGCCTGAATTTTTCTATCCCGAAGACCTCCTTACCTAAAATATTTTCTTTCTGTCCCCTTCTTTTCTTTTTGTTCATTCTTATAAAAAATGTTTAAAGCACGTAAACTTATCTTTTGAATGTTACATAGCATATTCTTCCACAGAAATAGAAATTAAATTTTATCGGTTCTGTCTGTGATTCATTACTAGGTTCTATTTCTAAACATGAGTTCCAGGCTGAGACAAAGAAGCTTTTGGACATCGTTGCCCGTTCCTTATACTCAGAAAAAGAGGTATACTACCTGTTAATTACTACTGGTCCTGGCAAGGTTTAAGCAAAACTAATTTTATACCATTCTGGAGAAATGCCAGACAATATATTAGCTGTAAGAATGCATTAAACTTGGGACAGGTTGTCATCTTAAGCTATCTGTAAGAGTATTTTTTACCAAAATCTGTTTTGGGTTTTGGGGTGAGTGTATCCAGATGATTCTTTGGGCCAGATGAACTATAGGAATTAATTGAATTTTGCCAATAATTGTAGAAGTCCCCAAATACTGGCATGGGGGCTCCACTGTTATCTATTTCTGCAGAGCTGTCAGAGTACTGTGGGCCCCTGTGCTATTGTGCCCTTTACTTGGGTGAGCACTTGCAGGTCTAGTTGGGAGCATCAGTGGCTGGAGGAAGAAGGTTCCTGGGTCCTGTATGAGTAGGGAAGAGTTGCATGGAGCTTTTTGAGACAAAACTCAGAGGTGATAGGACATGGAAAAACTGGAGATCATCATTGTTTACATGCTAATTATTGTTAGGATGCAAAGAGTTTGGAAGAAGGGTAAAGTACAATCTTAGGAAGTTCAAAGGAACTTTTCAGAAAATACAGTACAACTTCCGTAGGTTGACCACCCAAAGGACTGTAACAAATTGATCAACAGATGGAGGATTCACATAAGAAACGAGGCCTTTTGTACTGATATATACATGTGGTACGTGTCTGGTTTAAGAAGATGAGGTCAACTTAAGGAGATGGTCATTGTGGAGCGGTGGTCAGCTATGGAGGGTCTGCTGTATTTCCAGGTCTTGTAATGTTAAGTGCTATATTCCTGGATCCCAACAACTTCCAGTTTCTGTTCAGGTCACCCCATTTACTCTCACCTTGTTGCGGTCACTTACTTTAAATAGAAGCTCTGTTTGAAGTCAGGGTACTTTTCAGATCCTGAGAGGACTGTTGGGGTTGGGCCCTGTGGCCTTTTTTTCTCCATGGTATGGTAGGTCTGGTGTTTGCTGGTTCCTGCCAGGTGAAATGAAGCCGTTGAATCTGTTCCCATGGAGTGGGAGAAACAGATGTCTGGTGTGTGGTGTTATCCTTGTGCAGAAGTTGAGAAAGGAATGGTGGGTCCCTGGTGGGGTTCTTATTAAGTTTGAGTTAACTTGAGGCTTGACTAAGCAGCCTGGAGGGAAAGATTAGCAGATGTCAGTTTACTAGGCAAAGCTATGTCAGGAAAAGCCATCTGCCTTTAGTGACTTTGTGACCTACCCAGAGAAATGGCCTTTGACTAAAGCAGAAGACCTTTATTTTTAGAGAACTGAATCTTCCAGGGCAATTCTTGGACTTTTAACAGTTGTTGAAAATGCAGAGTTAGGATCCTTTGTCCTCCATCCCTCTCATTTCTATTCCTATAGGTGTTTATACGCGAGCTGATCTCCAATGCTAGCGATGCTTTGGAAAAACTGCGTCATAAGCTGGTGTCTGATGGCCAAACACTGCCAGAAATGGAGATTCACTTGCAGACCAACTCTGAGAAAGGCACCATCGTGATCCAGGTACCTCCCTTTAGTGTTCAGGTGTGTTGCACACCAGGCCATGAAGGAGGCGACACCTGCCTCCTAGTTATGTCTCTAGGCTCCCACTGACATGCTGTCTTTACTGTTAGGATGACTCTTGTTTTAATTTACTGTTAAAATAGCATTCGTTCATTATAGAAAATTTGGAAAACATAGGTAAACAGAAAAGAAGAAAATTAAAATCACCCCATTATCCAAAGATAACTGCTAGTAACATTTTAGCACATGTCCCTGTGAGCTTTGATGTGTGCATTTATTAACATAGCTAAACATATTTTTAATGTACTCGTTTTGTATTTTTAAACTGTGCTTCCCCCTCAGTAATGCAGATGAGGCAGCATTTGTGGTTACTGTTCTATCCTTATGAGAATTTTAAGGTCAAAGAGTTTAGAAAGGCAAAGGGGGTTCATGAGGCAGTGACTTTGAGAGACTTTGGGTTCCTGAGACAGCTGCCTGAGGACCTGCTGTCCCAGGATCTCAGGAGTAATTACAGGGCCAGCATCTCTGCAGAGAGGTGGGACAGGCTTGGGTGGGGTCTGAGCCTCCTTTTTTGAAATGCTGGCTTGTTCCTAAGGCTATGCCAGATGAATGAGCGCATGTGTGAGTGAATAAACCAACACCTTTAAAGTTAAAGGAAGGCCCTTGTGGGGTCTCAGCTTTATGTATTCCCTCTTAGGGTAGAATTGGAATCCAGGCTGAGCTACTTTGATGTGTGCAAGGTGTTCATCACCAGGATTGGAAGGGACATGTGTTTTTCTCCTTCTCTGATTAAGCTTGCTTGTGGCAGGGAGGGGGACACAGGGGTGCATGAAGGGTCCTCTTGTACTTCTTGCCATTTACAGCCCTGGGGCCCTTGAAGTGGATGATAGATGGATGTGTTGACGGGTAGGAGCAGTGGGGACATGACTTGTGGTTCCTGAGCAGAGAGGCTTGTCTTCCTGTGCAAGTACTTTCTGGGATTATGTTATGTTATAAGAAGGATTTTTGTTTGTTTTTGTCTTCTTTTTAAAAAAAAGGGCTCAGCGTCTATAGTACAGTGGTTATGGCACCAGCCACATACACCAAGTGTGGCGCGTTTGAACCTGGCCTGGGCCAGCTAAACAATAACAATAACTACAACCAAAAATAGCTGGGCATCGTAGCAGGTGCCTGTAGTCCCAGCTACTTGGGAGGCCGAGGCAAGAGAATCGCTTAAGCCCAAGAGTTTGAGGTAGCTGTGACCTGTGACACCATAGCACTCTACTGAGGGTGACATATTGGGACTCTGTTTCAAAAAAAAGAAGGACTGTTCTAGATTTCCAGAAAATTTGAGCAGATTGTACAAAGAATTCTAATACACCATCAGCACTCAGTTTCTGCTATTTCTAACACCTGACAGCAGTACAGCCCATTTGTTACAATTAATTAACCAATATTGATATGTTATTTATTTATTTTGTTTTTTTGAGGCAGTCTTACTTTGTCTCCCTTGGTAGAGTGCTGTGGCATCATAGCTCCCAGCAATCTCAAACTCTTGGGCTCAAGTGATTCTCTTGCCTCAGCCTCCCGAGTAGCTGGGAGTACAGGTGGCCCCCCACAACACCCTTTTATTTTTAGAGACAAGGTCTCATTCTGGCTCAGGCTGTCCTCAAACTCGTGAGCTCAGGCAGTCCACCTGCCTTGGCCTCCCAGAGTGCTAGCATTACAGGCACGAGCCACTGTGCATGACCTGATATGTTATTCTTATCTACAGCTTTTTTTTCTCTTTTTTTCTTTTTATTTATTTATTTGTTTATTTTTGAGGCAGAGTCTCACTATATCGCCCTTGGTAGAGTGCTGTGGCATCATAGCTTACAGCAACCTCAAACTCTTGGGCTTAAGTGATTCTCTTGCCTCAGCCTCCCAGTAGCTGGGACTACAGGCGCCCGCCACAACACCCAGCTATTTTTTGGTTGCAGTTGTCTTTGTTGTTTAGCAGGCCCGGGCTGGGCTCGAACTCGCCAGCCTCAGTCTATGTGGCCGGTGCCCTACTCACTGAGCTACGGATGCTGAACCTTTTTTTTGTTTGTTTGAGAACGAGTCTCACCATGTCACCCTTGGTAGAGTGCCATGGCATCATAGCTCACAACAAACTCAAACTCTTGGGTTTAAGCGATTCTCTTGCCTCAGCCTCCCAAGCAGCTGGGACTATAGGTGCCTGCCACAACACCCAGTTATTTTGTTGTGGTTGTTGCAATTGTCATTGTTGGTTAGCTGACCTGGGCTGGGCTTGAACCTGCCAGCTTTGGTGCATATGGCTGGCGCCATAACCACTGTGCTACAGGTGCCAACCCACCTTTTTTTCCTTTTTTAAGACACAGTCTTACTCTGTCACCCAGGCAAGAGTGCTGTGGCATCACCATAGCTCATAGCAACCTCAAACTTTTGAGCTCAAGAGATCCTCTTGCCTCAGCCTTCCGAGTAGCTGGGATTATAGGTGCCCTCAGCAATATCCAGGTAGTTTTTCTATTTTTAATAGAGATGGCATTTTGCTTTCCCTCAGGCTTGTCTCAAACTCTTGAGCTCAAGCAATCCACTGGCCTCAGACTCCCAGAGTGCTAAGGATTACAGCTATGAGCCACGGCATCCCAGCCCATTTTGCCTGTTACAATGAAGGGATCATAGAGAATGTGTTTTCCTGTGGTCTACTTCTCTTGTTCAATGATTGCAGTTTGGATTACTATATAGTAGTCCATCATATAAATATGCCATACTTTATCTAGTCTCGACATTTGGATCATTTCTACTTCTGCAATTACAAGTTATGTTGCAATAAGCTCTTGGGTAAGTTTCTTATATTCAAGTGTAGGAATTTCTTTTGGACTCATACCTAAGAGTAGAGTTACTAGGTGGTAGAGTTTGGTCAGGTTCAAGTTTGTTGGGTGATGGGAATGCTCTCCAAGACTGTGAGGCCACACTCTCATCCTGTCCATCCTCACCTATACTTACTGTCACCAGAGTTGTCCTTTCAGCCAGAGAAGTGTGTGTGTGATGAGGGCCACTCTGTTTATGGTCTACATTCCCTGAGTCATGGGTATGGTTATAAACCTTTTTCATTTTGCTTCCTGCCTGTACTGTGGGAGCTTAGTTTACCTGCTGAGGCTGTGTCGTCAAGTATTAGAGCACATGATGACATGTGTCTGCTATAGACAAGCCTGTCTCTTGTCTGACACACAGAGCCACCAGCCCTTGCATCAGGCACTCCATTGTGTACCCTCTTGGCATTTGGAGGCCTCCTAAGTCATGGTTCACCCTGTAGCAACAGAGCCCCTCCCCACCATTTCCACTATGACTTATCCTGTGTTCTTCCTGTCTGCTTTCAAAATATAGTCATATGTTGCTGAACGATAGAGATACTTTCTTTCTGAGAATAGTGTTAGGCGATTCTGTGGTTGTGAGAACATCCCAGAGTGTCACATCCAGGTGATACGGCCTACTGTGCACCTGGGCCAGGCTCTTTGGCTATGGACCTATGTAGCATAGATTGTTCTGCTTTGTCTGCAGAGCTTCCTAAAGAAAACCAAGGAGAAGGTGTTGACAAAACAAAATCATAGTGACAGAAGAGTTGATCCTTTGCCTTCAAATGCTAACTTAGTAGGTTCTTCTCAGGATGGTTTTAATAATTTAAGAAAATTTCTGCTCTGCTACGCTTCGTTTTCTCTGGTGAGGCTGGATTGATGTGACTGTAGTTAATCTTTTTTGGTGAGCATGTGGTCTCACTTTGCACTGGGCCCTGTCCAGCCAGCGTTGTTGATGCCATTTGATGCCTCTTTACCTTACCCAGCTCCCCCAGTGCTGTTCATCTGGCACTTAGAGTGTCTCTCTCCTCAGGACACTGGCATTGGGATGACACATGAAGAGCTTGTATCCAACCTGGGGACAATTGCCAGATCAGGGTCAAAGGTAAGCACAGGTCCCCCCACCTTGCTTGTCTGTTGGTGTGCAAGGATTCCTCCTGTAAGGGTGGCCCTGTGTGCCATATTAAATAAGCATTTTGGGCAGCGCCTGTGGCTCAGTGGGTAGGGCGCCAACCCCATATACCAAGGGTGGCAGGTTCAAACCTGGCCCTGGCCAAACTCCAATAACAACAAAAAATAGCCAGGCATTGTGGTGGGTGCCTATAGTCCCAGCTATTCGGGAAGCTGAGGCAAGAGAATCGCTTAAGCCCAGGAGTTGGAAGTTGCTGTGAGCTGTGATGTGACGGCAGTCTACTGAGGGTGATAAAGTGAGACTCTGTCTCTTAAAAAAAAAAAAAAAGAATATTATCAGGTGTGTGCCATGTAGCAAGCACTATGGGAACACTTTTCACATTGCAGTCATCCTACAGTATGGAGGATGGGTGGGGTTTTAGTTCTAGGACCTCCCACAGATACCCAAATCTGAGGATGCCCTCAAGTCCCTGGTATAAAATGGGGTAGTATTTTAATATGCACATCCTCCTGTGTACTTTAAATCATCTCTAGATTACTTGTAATACCTAATACAGTGTAAATGCTATGAAATAGTTATTATACTATACAAGGTGAGACAGTTAAGTATGTAGATTCATCCTAGAAAAAGTACTACATATTTCATTGTTAAATATCACCATTGAGGTCCTCCCCTTGGGAAGCTAGGCACCGATGCCAGTGCCTAATCTACTGTTCAAAGCACTTTTTCTAGGATGAGTTTGCAAACTTAATTGTCAGACCTCTTACAATGACAGTTCTAGTGGCCATTCCACAAAAAGAGCTCCAAAATGGCTTTGAAGGGTAGACTAGGTAGCTACCCAAGGGGAGTACTTTGAAGGTGACCATAGTGATATTCAACAGAAATATGTCACACTTTTTCTAGGATGAGATTGTGAACTTAATTGTCTGCCCTTGTTTTTTTTTTTGTTTGTTTGTTTGTTTTTGTTTTTTTGAGACAGAGTCTCAAGCTATTGCCCTGGGTAGAGTGCTATGGCGTCATAGCTCATAGCAACCTCCAGCTCAGGCTCAAGCAGTCCTCTTACCTCAGTTTTTCTATTTTTGGTAGAAACCAGGTCTTGCTTTTGTTCAGGCTGGTCTCAAACTCATGGATTCAAGCAATCCACTCGCCTCAGCCTCCTAGAGTACTAGGATTACAGGTGTGAGCCACCATTCCCCGCCTGACCGTATATTTTTTTTTTGGCTGGGGCTGGGTTTGAACGCGCCACCTCCTGCTGGCGCCCTATCCCTTTGAGACACAGGTGCCGCCCCCGATCTTGTATTTTTTTAAATTGTATTTATTTTTTATTTTTCCTGAGTATTTTCAATCCCCGGTTAAATCTGCAGATGTGAAACCTGAGATTATGGAGGATCAGCTGTGTTTCATTTTATTTTCATGGGGACCTGTGAGGTAGTTGTGTTAATATTTTTATCTTATGAGTAAAGGAATTGATTCTGCCCATAGCCAGAGGTTTTCCATCTTAGTCCAGAATGTGCCATTCTGCCTTCTGATGTTTCTCTCTGCAAATTCCTTCCCCAGTGAGTCCCTGAGCTAAGTGGGCTTGGCCAGAGAGGGGCAGCAGAGATGAGTCTGCTCCTCCCTCTGTCAGCCCGTGTATGGGTTTGGTGGTTCTTTTTTTTTTTTTTTTTTTTAATTTAGAGACAGAGTCTCACTTTATCGCCTTTGGTAGAATGCCATAGCGTCATAGCTCACAACTCCTGGGCTTAGGTGATTCTCTTGCCTCAGCCTCCTAGTAGCTGGGACTACAGGCGCCTGCCAAAACACCTGGCTATTTTTTCATTGCAGTTTGGCCAGGACTGGATTTAAACCCACCACCCTCGATATATGAGGCCGGCACCCTACCCACTGAGCCACAGGTGTCGCTTGGGTTTGGTGCTTCTTACCAGTACTGCTCTGTGTAGGGACAAGCCAGCCTGTAGGTGTGTCATCCGGCTACTGCTCTGACTTTGCAGCCTATGACGGGAAGATGTGTGGATGGCCGAGGTTTCCTCCCTTGGGGTGTCTGCTAGCCCAGGGTGAAGGCCTGTGGCCCTTGGCTGCCTTGGTGCCTCTCCTTGCTAACGGTGCATTTCTCTTTGACCTTTGGTAGCCTACATGGTCCCTATGTGGCACTTGGTACCAAGTGCTCGTTAATGTTCAAATGTTGATCCAAAGTGAGTCACAGAAATTTCTACTTTTAAAAAACAACCATAACTGTGACTCCCCCCACTCATTAAGTTTTTTGTTGTATTTATACCAAGGATAGTCTGTGCTATCCCATGCAGGAGCTTCTGGCTACCTGTGGCTGTGTAATGTGAATGCACTATAATTAAATGAAGATGACTTAGCACCCATAGTTCAGTGGTTAGGGCACCAGCCACATACACCAGAGGTGGCAGTTCAAACCCAGCCTGGGCCTGCTAAATAGCAATGACACCTGCAACAAAAAAAAATAGCTGGGTATTGTGGCAGATGCCTGTAGTCCCTGCTACTTGGGAGGCTGAGGCAAGAGAATCGCTTAAGCTCAGGACTTTGAGGTTGCTGTGAGCTGTGACGCCACAGCACTCTACTGAAGGCGACATAGTGAGACTCTGTCTCAGAAAAAATGAAAAAAAAAATGAAATGAAACATAATGTTGTTCCTCAGTTGCACCAGCTTTGACTAGGTGCTCAGTGCCACCTGTGGTGAGCAGCCGCCATGTTGGAAACAGCATATACAAAATGTTTACCTCAGTGTAGACCTTCCTGTGCCATGGTGTGTGCATTTAATTCCTTATTTTTTAATTTTGTTTTTGATTTGGTGTCTTGCTTTGTCACCAGGCCAGAGTGTAGTGGTGTCATCATAGCTTACTGCAGCCTCAAACTCCTGGGCTAATGCTAGCCTCCCACCTTGGCCTTCTGAATAGCTGGGACTACAGGTGCCTGCCACAAAGCTCAGCTAATTTTTCTTTTTGTAGAGACAGGATCTTGTTCTTGCTTAGGCTGGTCTTAAACACCTGGCCTCAATTCATTCTCCCGCCTCTGCCTCCCAAATCATTGAGATTACAGGCAGGTGCCACCAGGCCTGGCCTTGACTTTTGATTTTAGGCACTTTGGTAACATTAAATGAGAATAATTAAGTGTGTGTGGCCCATACAGCAGCATGTGCTTGGTTTGCACTCTTTTCCCACAAAGCTATGATTCTGGGAGACTTTTATGTAGAGAGTGCTTCAGGAGCCCCTCTTCCCTCCCCCTAGGGTCTGAGGGTCTATAGCACCCTCAGGGTCTATAGCACCCAAGAAGCTCAGCCTTGCCTTTCTGCAGCTGCTTGTTTCCCCACCCTTGGGTGTGACCTGCAGGCCTTCACTTACCTGAGACAGGCAGAAACTGTGGGCTTTAGGAATGGAATTGAACATAAACCTGTCACCAGCGTCCTTGGGCAAGCCCTTTTGCTATGTGGGACTTGGCTATTTATGTGCAAAATGGAGGGAAATTCTAATGGTTAAATGAAATCTTGAAGTGTGCGGGAAGAGCACACACACAGAAAGTTGTGAATGTTGCCGCCTCCCTCTGACCCTCATTTGCCTCTGCAGGCCTTTTTGGAAGCACTGCAGAACCAGGCCGAGGCGAGCAGCAAGATCATCGGCCAGTTTGGAGTGGGTTTCTACTCAGCTTTCATGGTAGCTGATAGAGTGGAAGTCTATTCCTGCTCAGCAGCTCCAGGGAGCCCAGGGTACCGGTGGTTTTCAGACGGGTGAGTGAAAAGAAGCCTGCCTTACACGGAAGTGTCCTTCTCCCTGTCTCTGGGGGCATTTGTAGCTTGGAGTCCAGCACTTAGCATTGAGTTTGCATAGTTAGACTCTCCTTGGAAAACTTAAATAAGCATTTTCTGGGCTTTTTTTTTTTTTTTTTTTGAGACAGAGTCTCACTGTGTTGCCCTTGGTAGAGTGCTGTGGCATCACAGCTCATAGCAACATCAAACTCTCGGGCTTAAGTGATTCTCTTGCCTCAGCCTCCCAAGTGACTGGGACTATAGGCGCCTACCACAATGCCCAGCTATTTTTTGGTTGCAATTGTCATTGTTGTTTTAGCAGGCCTGGAACCTGCCACCGTATGTGGCTGGCCCTACTCACTGAGCTATGGGCACCAAGCTGTTTTCTGGGCTTTTGATGTGAAATCTGGTGAAATCTGACTTTCCCACTTTGTTGGGGAGCCTGTTAATTGTGGCTTCAAACATCTGTAGTGTACCTGTGGCCCCATGCGGCTGGTCACCATCACTGTGCTCTGGAATATGGGGCCCTAACCCAAAATGAGCCTGTTCCTCAGCACTGGCCTCTCTCCTGGTGGTTTCTGCTCTGTGTGTGGCCCGCTCTGGGAGCTCATTTTGGTTCCTCCTGATCCTGTGGTTTCCTGGTTGGGCCTCATGGCTGCTCCCAGCTTCGTAGGTGAGGGATCTGCCCACCGGCATTTTCTGGGAGCAAGCCAATGGTCTGGCTGAGATGTCTCCCTTGAAGTTGCCTATTTGTCTCCCATTGTGTGCTGGAGCCATGTCTTACAAGTTGATTGGGTGGGGGTTCCAAAACACTTCAGAACCCATTTGAGAAGCATGAATACCTTTGCAATTTGAAGCATTTTTAGAAAGCCTCAAAACTTCATTTCTGAATTATGATTTCCTGGGTGCATCTTACAGCACAGCCAGGAGAGGAGGCCTAGCTGGAGTGTGGCTCAGTTCTTCCCTCTGTTACAGCCAAGATTTCCACTTAATTCTATGAAAGCAGTGCTCAGAGTGCACAGAGCTAAGTGCTTACAAGGCCCCAGGGTACATCCCCTCCACTTGTGCTTCTGAAGTGGTTTCTGCTCTTCTTGGGGCATTTGGCCTCTGTCAGAAGGTCAGAAACAACACAGGTATCTGGCAGGCATTTGGAGCTGGACCAGACCCCACTAGCACCCTGAGCCTGTTTTTGGGTAACACAAGCCCAGGATGTTCTCCTGGAGGATGGGTGGCGGGCCCCTGAGGGGGTCAGGGGTACTCTGCCGCCATGAGTCGGGGTCAGCAGTCCTGATATCCATTTAGTGGTATGAGGGGCTGTGCTGAGCTCAGAAACCTTTTTGCCTATTGGTTGGGGCTCTGCTGGTGTTAAATGCAAACTGACCAGTGTGCCACACAGGATTTTGTAAGCAGCGATGTGTGGAACTGGCTTTTCCTTCCCTTATATGTCTTAGCTCTGGAGTATTTGAAATTGCTGAAGCTTCAGGAGTTAGAACTGGAACAAAAATAATCATCTACCTCAAACCTGACTGCAGAGAGTTTGCCAGCGAGGCCCGGGTTCGAGGTGAGTGGGACCTGCATCTTGTGTGGGGTGGGCTCCTACTGTTGTGTTCTGTTAGATTCTGCCTAGATGGTGCACAGATGGAGCTGTGAGGGCCTGAGCCACCCTGTGACCCAGAAGAAGGGTGGGCCTACGTTGGCCACTAGGTCTGTGAAGGACAGACCTGCTGGTTCTGAGCTGTGTGAGTTGTAGAACTTGGAGACAGGCGTAGCTGGCAGGCACAGGTTTGTTCTCTTTTTCCCTCCCTTTGTGTGGCTTAGGCTTTAATGAAGTTGGTGGTTTAGGCATAGTCCTATTGCTTAGCCTGTTGTTTTTCTTTTTTTTCTGTTGTTTTTCTTTTTTTTGAGACAGAGCCTCAAGCTGTCCCCCTGGGTAGAGTGCCATGGCATCACAGCTCACAGCAACCTCCAACTCCTGGGCTCAAGCGAGTCTCCTGCCTCTGCCTCCCAAGTAGCTGGGACCACAGGTGCCCGCCACAACGCCCGGCTATTTTTTGGTTTCAGCCGCCATTGTTGTTTGGTGGGCCGGGCTGAATTTGAACCCGCCACCTTAGGTGTATGTGGCTGGTGCCTTAGCCGCTTGAGCCACAGGCGCTGAGCCGGCCTGTTGTTTTTCTTTTCTCGAGCACTTCTCAGCGTCCACTTGCTAGCCCATAAAGCTGTACTTCCACAGCCAACCTTCATGGTCTGATGGCAGACTGGGCCTCATTCTCACCCTAGGTTCTGTTGCTGCTCAGCATATGACCACGCAGGAGGACGTTGTGCCCTGGCTTTTGCACCTATGAAATGGGCATAGCAGGGAAGAGCCCTTCCAGCAGCTGTGCTCAAGCAGAGAGCTTTGGGGAGTCAGTGTTGTTTCTCCTTTGTCTCTTCCAGATGTGGTAACGAAGTACAGTAACTTTGTCAGCTTTCCTCTGTACCTGAATGGAAGACGGATCAACACCTTACAGGTGAGACCTGAGAGGGCTCAGTTAGCCATGGAGACAAGTCCATGCATTTCAGGGGTGAGACTTGGCGATGTTGTCCAGAATTGCAGGCCAGTTGTTCTGTGTGGGAAGATGAGAACTGTAGTGCAGGCAGGATCCTCAGCCCCGCCACACCCCAGTCCACCAGTCTGCGAAGCTCAGTGGTATTCGATATAGTCACAGTCATGAAGCCACCATCCCAGCCTAAAATATTGTAGAATATTTTCATCGGCTCAGAAAGCAGCTGTGTGCACTGCCAGTCACATCCCTGTAGTCTCACCAAGCCTTGGGCAGCCACCTTGGCTTCCTATGTGATTTGCCTGTTCGGGCTGTCTCACACGGATGGAGTCACACCACACATGGTCTTTGTGGCTGTCTTTTCTCACATCGTTCAGCCACATCGTAGTGTGTTGGTACCCATTCCTTGTTGAGGCTGAGTAATGTGCCGTATGTGGATAGCCTATGTTCTGTTTGTCACTGCAGCCATTGGTGACTTGCTTTCATTCTAATGGGTTCCTCCTGACGCAGTGTCCGGGCATGAGGGATGGTGTTTGCTCCAGAATCCTTCATGTGTTTGTCCACTGTAGCACTATAGGGCTGGGGTTCTGCACCCAAGACCACTTCATGCCCATCCAGCCCAGTCCAGGGGAATGGACTTCACTAGCTCAGCAATACACAGTTGTTAGGAAGACATGTTTTAAACCCAATGGCCTTGTCCATTTCTGTTTCTAGGCCCTCTGGACGCTGGATCCCAAGGATATCAGTGAGTGGCAGCATGAGGAATTCTACCGCTACATTGCCCAGGCTTATGACAAGCCCCGCTATACCCTGCACTATAGGACAGATGCACCACTCAACATCCGGAGTATCTTCTATGTGCCAGACACGGTGAGGCATTGACCCTGACCCTGGCTTGGCCACAGAGTGACTCTACTGTTCCTGGAGCAGAGATCCCCATAGCCACAGTAGTCTGGCAGCAACAGCACTTTTCCCAAATGGCAACAGCTTTGCAGATATTTCACATGATTAGCTTTGCAGTGTTAGAGCAAAAGAAAAACAGATGCCTCTGCATAGGTGAAACAGGTTCTTGTTTACAGAGGTCATGCAAGTTGAGGGGATTTTTTTGTCTGCTGTCTTTCAGCACAGGCCCGAGTACTAGCTGGGGGAGGAGTCCCCTGGGCAGCTCACACCCAATCAGGCAGCTCATGTGCTCCTTGATACACTCTGTGCATAGGACCTGTGTCAGCCTCTGCACTGGTGCTGGCTGCAGGCTTCCCTGAGTCCCTAGCTCTCGTGATTCCTGTCAGCACATAAAAGCTCAGACAAATGCTGCAGTAAAGAGACCAAATCAGGGCATAGAACTCAGCCTTCCCAGCCTGGAACCCTCTCAACATCCCACATTTGTTAACATCATTTTGGAGTGAGCTGAGTGAGGCTGTTACCACCCCAAACATGTGGTCATAGACAAGAGCACAGCATCGGGGCCCCTGAGTCATAACCCATGTTTAACAAAAGCTGTGTGATGGTGGGAGATGCGTTTGTGAAGCACTGAGGTAGTGCAGGTGTGAGTGCACACTTTGTGGAAGGGCAAGAGGGTAACCACTTCTGGCTGTGGGGTGACACAGTCTCTATTGTACTTTCCAACTCTGCTGCCGTGGCAAGAAAACTCCACAGACAAGCAACTTGAGAGAGCGTGGCTGTGTCCTCTAAGCTTTCTAGACACTAAAATTTTGTAACTTTCTCATATTATCATGAAATAATTCCTTTTTATGTTTTTTCTTCACTTGAAAATGTAAAAGCCGGCTTGGCACCTGTAGCTCAGCGACTAGGGCACCAGCCACGTACACTGGAGCTGTCAGGTTTGAACCCAGCCTGGGCCTGCTAAACAACAATGACAACTACAACAAAAAAATAGCCAGGCATTGTGGCAGGTACCTGTAGTCCCAGCTACCTGGGAAGCTGAGGCAAGAGAATTGCTTAAGCCCAAGAGCTTGAGGTTGCTATGAGCTGTGACGCTATGGCACTCTACCCAGGGCGACATAGTGAGACTCAGTCCCCCCCCCCGCAAAAAAAAAAAGTGAAAGCCATTCTCAGGCTATATGGATACAGGCTGCGAGCTATTTGCTGACACTGACCCATAGTGAGGTTTAGTTCTCTTCCAGAGGACATGCCAGTCTTCATTCTCTGTGTCCTCCACAAGGAGTACACAACTGGGGACTGGGGAGGGTGGCAGCTGCCCAAAGAAGGCTCCCCCACCTCTGAGGTGCCTTGGCATTGGGGTGTCCTCCCTGGGCATAGAGCAATGTGGCTAGTGTGGGCACGGCAGGGCTAACCCTCCTATGGATTCATTGTATTCCCCTTCCCAGCCCAGGACCAGCTCGGGAGGGGGTGGCTCTCTGAGATCCTGCTTCCAGGTTCTGCCTCCTGGCAGCTGCAGTGGGTTTTGCCATTGCTGCTTGACGCTGTCCTTTCCTCATCCCTAGAAACCATCCATGTTTGATGTGAGCCGGGAACTGGGCTCCAGTGTCGCACTGTACAGCCGCAAAGTCCTCATCCAGACCAAGGCCGCCGACATCCTGCCCAAGTGGCTACGCTTCCTCCGAGGTATGGTGGCCCAGAACCCATGCTCATGTGGGTGGAGCCCTGGGTCTGGGTGACCTCCCGTGTACCCAGTGCTGGTGACTACCTTTGCTCTGTACGTGCCGATCTTGCTCTCAGAGCTCATCTTTAGTGACTGTGGTCAGGGTGAGTGGCCACAGAGCCGGCCCCACTACAGCAGGTTACCGGGCAGCTTGTGGGGAGCAGCTTGGGCCTCCTGGAAAGCATCTGACCTTTACTCTAGTTTGATTTGGGAGAAACAGAGGGGTGTTAATTTGAGGTCTTTCAGTATTTAGAAATATTACCTGAGTTTGAGATTTGTTCAAGAGTAGTGTTGAGTGAGATTATAGTTTAATAAAGAATTCAGGCCAGATGTCGTGGCTCATGCTTGTAATCTTAACACTTTATGAGGCCAAGGCGGGAGAACCATTCGAGCCCAGGAGTTCAAGACCCTGTTTCTACTAAAAATAGAACATTTAGTCTGATACAGTCCCAGCTACTGGCAAGGCAGCAGGATCACTTGAACCCAGGAGTTTGAAGTTGGCTATGAGCTAAGCTGATGTTATGGCACTCTAGCCTTG